TCCAACTCGGGCGGCACCACAAGGTGCAGCGCGGCTGGAGCCTCCGCCTCGCGCTCGAAGGAAGCCCCGCTCCGCAAGTAAATCACGTCCCGCACCACTTCATCATAGCTGCTCAAGTTGCGCTCCACCCAGTACGCCGCCTCGTAGGACGCCGCTGGTAGGTTGATGTGCGATCGCACCTGCTCCTCCGTGCGGCCAACAACGCTATTCGTGCGGAAGAGCCACTGCAAGCGGACTGTGCCCCCTGAGCCAATGCGGCGGAGAATGGCAAAGCGCATACAAAAGTCGGGGTCGCAGAGAGCGTCGCGCAGCAGTTGAGCATGCTCGTCGGTCGCGTTGTTTAGGACGCCACGCCAATTATCTGCGCGCCCATCTGTTGCCTGGCATCCCCGGCGAATTCGTCGCTCGTGATCAGCTCCGCTGCCGCTCGGAGCAACCAGTGCCGTGTCGAGATGAAGCTCCGCGACGACGCCCGTGGACTGCACGCGCAGGGAGAGGCGCACGAGCTCCCGCACGGCAAGCGACTTCTCGGCATGCGCCGCCTGACGCCTGTCGGCATCCCATTCTTGCAAGCAAGCCATTTCTACCGACCGCGACGGGACGGACGTTTTGGTACGTTTTGGCACCAGCTGAAGGCTTGCGTCCGCAAAAGCCCGTTGCCAACCGCACTTTTGCCGGAGTCTCGCGAATCAATTGGCCTCCGCTCAAGGTGTGAACATATTCGCTGCGGTCAATATTCGTTGATGTCACGCTGCACCCGACTTTAAAATCCCTGCGTGGTGGCGGCGTGCCGTCCTCCCATCCCTCCCTTGGGTTGTGTGTTTTTTTTTTATGCACCCGACTAGCACACCTCTGAGTCCCAGAAACCCGAGGAGTCACACAATCCACCTGTGTGATGCACGCCCTGCGAGCGGGGCGGGGTGCGCACCGTCCCTCTCTCTGTGTTCGTGTGTGCGTCGCCCATCTCTCCCTGGAGATGACTGCTCTATTTATTTATTTGCACCCGAAGGGCGACGCGACAGAGGAGGAAGCGACAGGAGGGAGAACGACGAGAGTGGGACGACCGCGAGAGGTGGCATGAAGGTTGGAGCGAGAATCGGCGAGGGACTGCGAAGGGAGATAGAAAGAGGCAGACGACCAAGGGTTTAGGGTGGGCGACGGCTAGCACCACACTCCTCTCCTTAAAATCCCTGTGTGGTGGCGGCGTGCCGTCCCCATCCCTCCCTTGGGTTGTCTGTTTTCTTTCTTTCTTTCTGCACCCGAAGGGAACCCCAGGGCCAACACCGACCGTTGAGGTACAAGTGCTCGAAACGAGAGTGGACCTGAGCAATGATATGACTTGGCGGCAAATGATCGGAGTGGGCGTCAGAAGAGTCGTCCTTGCCCCCTTGCGCGAGGAGAGCTCGATAAACTCGAGGGGCCAAAATACGCCGCGAGGAGGGCGGAGTTACGCAGAGAGGCGAGAAGCAGCGAGAGCAAGGGATCGGCAGAGGGCAGACTAAAGATCTCTCGCGCGCAGACGGCAGCGGCGTCTCAGAACGAGGCAGAGGAGAGCGACGGCCGACGCGACAGAGGATGAAACAGCAGGAGAGAGAACGAGGACGAGAGTGGGAAGAACGCGAGGTGGCATGAAGGTCGCTGCGAGAATTGGCGAGAAACTGCGAACAGAGATAGGAAGAGGTACATGTAGACGCCCAAGAGGGTGGGCGACGGCTAGCACCGCACTTCTCTCCTTAAAATCCCTGTGTGGTGGCGGCGTGCCGTCCTCCCATCCCTCCCTTGGGTTGTCTGTTTTCTTTCTCTTTCGTGCGGCGCAAGAGGCTAGTGCGTAGTGGGAGAGAGAGTTTTTGTCGTAGTGGTGACTCGACGAAGGCGTCGCATACCAGAAAGAAGCCGGCGTGTGCGCTCCTCACGCCGGAAGCGCTCTGGGGGGCGGCTGGGAAGCGGCGATCTCCGCCCGGGCCGTCCCTTGCTCGAGGCCCAGGGGCCTTGCGACAAAGAAAGAAAGAAAGAAAACAGACAACCCAAGGGAGGGATGGGAGGACGGCACGCCGCCACCACACAGGGATTTTAAGGAGAGGAGTGTGGTGCTAGCCGTCGCCCCTTGGTCGTCTGCCTCTTTCTATCTCCCTTCGCAGTCCCTCGCCGATTCTCGCTGCAACCTTCATGCCACCTCGCGGTCGTCCCACTCTCGTCGTTCTCCCTCCTGTCGCTTCCTCCTCTGTCCGCGTCGCTCTCGTCTCTGCCTCATCCTGCGACGCCGCCGCCGCCTGCCGATCCCTTGCCTCTCGCGGCTTCTCCCGCCTTTCGGCGCAACTCCGCCCTCCTCGCGGCATATTTTGGCCCCTCGAGTTTATCGAGCTCTCCTCGCGCAAGGACGACTCTTATGACGCCCACTGCGATCATTTGCCGCCAAGTCATATCGTTGCTCAGGTCCACTCTCTCTTCGAACACTTGTACCTCCACCGATGATGTTTGCGCTGGGGTCCCCTTCGGGTGCATCGTTACAGCTGACGACGGGATTACCACTGGTACCTGCGCCCCGCCTAGGTGGGAAAGAGACGAGGAGGGGGAACAGTTTTCTTTCGCTGCATGCACTCCTCGACTCCGGCCATGAGCGAACAAACCAGGAACAAACCATCTAAAGAATAAAATAGTGAAAGCATAAAACTGCTGAAAGAAAGAAAGAAAACAGACAAACCCAGACGAGGGATGGGGGAGGAGGACAGGGTCCCCACCTGCATTATGCTCACACATGCCGCGGTCGATTTCTTCAATACCGTGAGGAAGGCTCGGATGCGTACCATGAGACGTCTGCCTCAGCGGCTCGGCGGCGGCCCGGTCTGGGCGGCTGCGCGGCAGAACGGCGGCGGCTTCTTCGGCAACCTCAAGGAGAACCTGAAGAAGGAGGTCGAGAAGAACAAGGATCTGCAGGAGGCGCTCAAGGGGCTGCGCGAGGACGAGACGCTGAAGAAGGCACGCGAGGCGGCGACGGCCGCGACGGCGGGCTTCCAGCGGGCGGCGGAGCAGGCGGGCAGTTCCGCCTCCTCCGCGGCCGAGCAGGCCGGCGCCAAGGCGTCGGAGGCGGCCGAGCAGGCCGCGAAGCTTGCGGCGGAGGCCAAGGCCAAGGCGGAGGCGTCGGCGGCTGAGGCGGGCTTCCAGCGCGCGAGCCAGGAGGAGGCGAGCGGCAGCGCGGCGGGCGGCGCGGCGGGCGGCGAGCAGCCCGGCGCCAAGTCCGACGGCGCGCCCGGCGAGCCTCTGCCGCCGCCGCTGCACGAGCGGCTCGTCGCTGATGTCAGCGCTGCCTTTTCGGCGGCGCGCGAGCGGCTGGGGGGGGCGTTCGGGGGCGGCGGCGCGGCGGGCGCGGCGGGCGCCGCCGCCGACGCGCCGCCCGCCGACTCGGGCGCCGTGGTCGTGCGCGAGCCAACCTTTTGGGAGAAGGCGACCAACTTTGGGTCTGGGTCTGGGTTTGGCTGGTTTGGCGACGCGGCGGGCAGCGTCGGCGACCGGATCTTTGGGGAGACGGAGCAGGCGGAGGCGCTGCGCGAGCTGCGCGAGCTGATGCCCGACTTCGACATGGACAAGTTCCTCACCGAGGAGGTTGCCCAGAAGCAGCGCGACGTGCTCGGCGCCTACCTGCGCGGCGACATGGAGGCGCTGCGCCGCTGCTGCCGCGACGCCGCGTACGGCGCGCTGCACAAGTCGGTGATGGAGCGGGAGGCGCACCAGCTCCAGATGGACGAGCGGCTCCTCTTCCTCTCCGACCCGGAGATCGAGTCCGTCCGCTACATCGGAGGCATGCCCACGCCCGTCGTCTCCTTCGAGGTGCCGCCGGCACGCCAGCAGCACGCCAGCAGCACGCCGGCAGCACGCCGGCAGCACGCCAGCAGCACGCCAGCACGCCACGGCCCGCCGCCCGGCTTCGCTCGCGCACACCCGCCTGCCGTCGGGGAGAGCGTGGCCCGAGCCCTTCCCCCCCGCCCCTCGAGAGGCGCCTCCCGCGAGCCCCTCCGCCTCCCCCTCTGGCGCAGGCGCACCAGCTCAACTGCGTCCGGTCCAAGAGCACGAAGCAGATCGTCGAGGGGGACGAGGACGACATCCGCGCGGTGCACTACCTCTTCGCTCTCCAGCCGACAGAGGACTGGGCGGAGCCGGAGCCGGAAGCGGCGGGGGAGGAGACCGCCGCTGCCAGGCGGCGGATCACGCTGCCGAGGCGCTGTGCGGGAGGGTGGCCACGCTGTGAGTAGGCGCCTGCGGACGGCGGCGAGGCGGGCGGCGAGGCGGGCGGCGAGGAGGGGCGGGAGAAGTCAAAGGAGCCGCCGCCGGACAAGTGGCAGGCGGGCGGCGGCCGGCTGACACCGAGAAGAGATGCCCGTCACGCAGCCCCGTATCACACGCCCACCCTGGGCCGTGTCGCGCTCGCAGGTGACGGAGCTCGCGGTGCGTGGCATGCAGTCGGTGTACTGAGGCCCGCCCCGCGCTGGCGGGAAGGGGGTAGGGGTGAGGGGCGCGTCTCCCCGTGGCGGGTTGGGGTTGCGGGTCAGCATCAGGATGATGGGCTGATCGGGTGCGCGGCGGGAGGGGAGGGGAGGGGAGTGCTGCTCTGGTGGCGCTGCGCAGGCGCCGCCTGGCCCTGCGCACGAGCTGCAGACTCGCGCCGCGTCGAGCTTGTGCGGCGGGCCAAAAGGGTCAAGGTGCGGACTTGCGGACTTGGGCGCCGTCGTCGGCCCGCGGCTTCCGCAGCTGGGCTTCCGGTGCGTCCGCATCGCCGGTGTTTATAGATCCAGTGATCGTATATATTCGTAGAACTATGTTATTGGTGCAACATGTTTTGTTCTTTACCACCACCCCGAGAGCGAGACCTCCAGCCGGACACCCAGGCCCAGGGAGGCACTGCTCCGGAGTGCGTGGCTCCCTACCTGGAACTGCGCCGCGAACCCAGGGACCTCGACGCAGCGAGTAGCGAGCCTGGCTCGCCGCAGCCAGCCGATCGCTGCTCGATGAGCAAGTCCGGCGCAAAGACTGCGAAGACGGACGCCGTCAAGGCGTCCCGGAAGCGTCCCGACCCGGAGGGCCTGCGCCTCATCGAGGAGGGCGAAAAGGCGTTCGAGGCGAAGGACTTTGTGGCGGCGACCGAGCGGTTTGTCGCCGCCAAGGCTGCGTGCGACGCCTCAACCGTCCAGGCAACGGCGAAACCGAAGAAGGAGAAGCCTCCTCCCGCCGAGAAGGAGGCCGTGGCCGACAAGGAGCCGAAGCCGGCCGACGGTGGCGTGGAGCAGAAGCTAGTGCTCAAGCCCCCGGTGGAAAACATCCAGGCAAAGCCGCTCCGGCCAGACATAGACGCGGCGCACAACTACGCGCTCAACGCGGCGGAGGATCACGCGGCCTACCTCAAGCGAACGGGCGGTGGGATCCGCACGCGCTTCCCACCCGAGCCCAACGGGTACCTGCACATCGGCCACGCCAAGGCGATGAACTTCAACTTTGGGCAGGCGCGCAGCACCGCAGCACCGACACACCGCAGCACCGCAGCACCGGCACGGCCGCCACGGCCGCCGCGGCCGCCACCCGGCACCGTCCCCGGCGCAGGCGCGGCTGGCGCGGGAGGCGGGAGGCTCAGGCGCGACGGTGATGCGGTTTGACGACACCAACCCGGCGGCGGAGAAGCAAGAGTACATTGACTCGATCCTCGACTCGGTGGCGTGGCTCGGCCACACGCCCGTCGCGGTCACGTACAGCTCGGACTACTTCC